ATCTGAAGAGCATAGATAACAGAGCTTTTCTTGACCACCCATCTGCAAATCAACCTGCTCTGCAAGTACAGACAGGGGAGATACACCTTGTAGAGCCACAGGCAAGATCCACAGCCATTGCCTTTCCCAGCGCACTGACCATCCCCTTGACCAGAAAATGCTTTGCACTGTAGCAAGGGGATAGGGAAAACAGGAAGCAGGCTAATCCTGAGCTGTCTGGCAGACAGAGAGGCCTCTAGTTATCATTTCTTTATGCATGGCCCTCTCCTCACCACATAGTTTCTTAAGTTTTCAGGCTGAAGTGTGAGATAACCCTGATTAACCAGACAACCCCTTGACATCCAAACCTGCTTCCCAAATGGCTCTTCACAAATGTTCTGACGCACAAAGGTCTGACAAACAGAGCAGGCTTTCTCTGAAGTTTTTGAAATGATGGGCAGTGAGCAAGGCCAGAAGCTGGAGAAGGTACATCCGCAGTATGACAGAGCATCCCACTGTGTTGCACCTTCACCTGACCAGTCTACTTAAATCATACAGGCAACAGATGCAGAAGTAATAAGGCCGTCCATCATCACCTCACTGTGAGGCAGGGAAGGTATTGCCTTTCCCAGCCAATATGCCACTGGGGAGGACACCATGCCCTCTGACAGATGCCACTCACACTGGCAACAGCAACAGGCAAGCAAGACCATTTTGCTGCAGGAAGATGTTAACCACTTTTGTGATGGCACCAACTTTGCCAATCTAGATCCAGCTTCTCAAAGAAGATTTAACTTCACTCTCTTTTTGTTTGAAAAGTCCTACTGTGCCTACACAATGTGCTTAAGGAAAGATGGTTATGTGCTGGAACATCTTTAGTAGTCTGAAGAAGTAAGTACTGCATTACCAGAAAAAGAGATGAAGTCCCCAGTGAATCATGTAGATCACCCCAGAGTACTACAAATGAGACCATAAAACTGGCCTCCACTATGATCTATTTTGTGTATGCATTCCGTAACACAGAGGTAACCTCTCTGAAATTACTAAAAGGAGGGTTTAAACATTTTATTGGGGGCCTTTTGTCATGTCAGGTTATAAATAAAAAATCAACAGGGTTCCAAAAGGAAAAAAAAAGCTACCCAATACTTAAAAACACCTCTGAAACACCCCTGCAACCGATTTTTTTATGCATAGACCCTCCATGATCTGAAAACCCTCTGGATTTCAAAGATGTAGAAATAAGTAGAACACCCTGCTGGAACACTTCCAGTCTTGGGCAGCTCCTGCAATCCTTTAAAGCCACAGAAGAGCAGAACTAGAAACTGCCAGATAAGACTTGATACAACCCATCACGGACACCCTGTCCTAGTAATTTAGAGAATGAATGAGGAGGGGGAGAAATTATATACCTGAAGGAAAGGAGAAAACATTTTTGTCATAAACCAATTTGATTTTTTTTCCTTAACCCATTTTAAAGCATGTCTTTGAAACTGCTAAAGAATTGCAATATTACAATAGCTCCGAAAGGAGTAAGTTATGGACCAGAATAGCAATAAAGAGGCCAGAAGGGCACAGGATTTAGCATTTAGCATGCGGCCCTGCCAGTTATTCTCATCAGAAACATCAAGGATTTTTAATTGCCTTCAGGGGGAGTGTTACACTAAAAGTTGTTAAGGGAAAGATGTTCCAGGCTCTGATGTTTATGTAACATGCCATCTCTTTTGTATTCTGCTCAGCTCTTTTGTACTCTGCCATTTGGGGATGGATGGCAGTCAGGGTGTTTTTGCAGTCTTCATTGCTAAGTGAAGTTAATTTAGCACAGAAATTTTTCCACTCCTTATTCATTTCAATCTTCACTTTCCCATGAAAAGTTTAGTTTTTTTCATGTAGTTTTCTTCCCCCTATTAGAGCAAGAATAAAATACAAACCCGTCTAAGTTAGCATGAAAAATGTTGCTTAATTTTTTACAAAGTGAATTAGGAAGACCAAAAGATTGAAAACTTGGGTAAATCCAACACCTTAACCCTGAAACAGTCTTAGTGCAGTTCATTACTGTTTGTTAGATAGTAAGTAGATGTAGGTAGATTTTGTCCAAGAGGAAACTGTTCGCTTTGTGCAGCTTTGGCACACACATATAAGCTAAGCAGAGAACAGGAAAACCTGATTGGAATCACTGGAGACTGAACGGGAACACAGCAGTATGGGAAAATTGGAAGGCCAGCAGGAAAAACATACGGTTATTGAGCATGGCATGTTGCTGGCACTTAGCTTAGCAAGTCACTAATATTGCAGTACAGCTCCGTGCAGCTTCTCAGGACGCCCAGGCCGGGAGACAAAATAAAATGAATAAAATCTAATGATTCACAGGATGGGGGGAACTGATCATAGCTAGCTCCCAAAAGGTACAAAACAGCTCTCTGAAACTAGCAGTATGGCTACCAACCTAAGAAGAATGCAGGCACGATACCTAGCAGCCCTTATCCTCCATGTCTTTACAGAGCATCCCTGGCAGACCTCTTGGACACAAGCATCTTGGTGCCCGAGTGCTGGGCTCACACATTTTGATGATTTGAGTATATGGGTATGAAAGAGCAGCAAATGAAAAGCTTTAAAATAGTCCCTATCCCCTCCCATAAGGTTTTGCACTGATATTTGCAACACTGTAGAAACAGGCACTGCAGAAACCAGCATTGCAAAGTCTCAACATTACCACTGTATCCTTCATTCCTCTTGAAAGAAGCATAAGCCGTTTTTTGTTTCATTAGAATTCCCTGTCTTTTAAGATAGGCAGACCTTCTACCTCACGTTGTACATCCAGGGCACCATCTCCATATTTCCCAGTGCTGCATCACCATTAGCAACCATAAGAGACTTCCTGGAGTGAGGACATTAGTCATGGATTTTATGTAGTTTCTGCATCTGAATTACTCCCCATAATCTCTGTTTAAAGACAACAGTAAAGAAGTCTGCAACGTTTCTTTAGGGTCCTGTGGAACAGAAGTGTAGTTAGGGCAATGCAGTGGGTACGACTGGAATGGGAAAAAGGACTCTAACACCACTGTGCAGCTGCCCAAGGAGATAGGGATGCACAGGGAATGCTGACAGGGAAGCTAAAAACTCCTTGTACTCTATGGTGAAGTCATTCTGATGTGAGATATTAAAACCTTAAACCTTTAGATGCAAGATAGTAAAATTTTAAAGTATTACAGAAATGGTGAAGAAGAGCAAACCGCAGATTAATCTTTAATTGCTTTTAGGACAGCAACTTTACTGTAGTATTTTTTTTTAAGCTTAATTCAGATAGTAGAGTTCTTACGGGGGGAGGGACAGGCTGGTACTTAATGCTTTAACACTTAAACACTAAGTCTTTCACACTTCCAGGCCTATTATGGCATTTTTTTGGGAAGCGAATTATTTGTACTATTGCTTCATGACAGGATCCTACCGCAAGATGAGCCTCTGGTTCTCCATCAGGCTGATAGGTTGCGTTTCCAGGAGATATCTTCTTGAGCATTGCACTCACGCTCTCTCTACACCACGTCTGTCACACACTGAGGAGCCAGTGTAATGAATAATAAAAATATTTTATTGTTACTTCATAACATAAAATTAATAAATCCAGGATGCCAAAGTTTGGGGCATAAAAAAAAAAACCTGAATGAGAGGAATGTGTCATAACAAAGTCGTATTTTAAAACAAGGAGCTTTTCTAAACACTTTTTCTTGAGATCCATTGCTTCCATAGCTCCATCTCACCCTGATGTTTGCGTAGCCTGATCTGTGACCAGTGCTAGGACAGCTGGAAAGAATGGTACGTTCATCACCATCCACATGCTAGGCAGGAGTCAAATATTAGTCCATACAGGTGGAAGAGTACAGAGTGGAAAAAAAAACCTCAACAGGAGGACACGGATTACTTCCTCTTCTTTCTGGCTCTCATGTCACCGGCTGGGATTCCTGAGGCAGGGGTTTTTAAGGCTAGACCAAGGCAGAGGGCCTCCTCCTGGCCCAGAGAACATCCTGCATCACAGGCAGCACGAGAGAGAAGTACACATACAGTCAGTACCTTCTGCCACTGAACACAGCAGCACTTCCAGTCAGTTGTTTTCAGGGACACAGATGCTGGCAGTGGCCACAAGGAGCAGTGTGTTAAACTGAAGTGGGATGTCTCATCAAGGAGCTGCACGATGGGACAATCACACCACTAGGATTTTCTAGAAAAATAATTACCTGTAGGGTCCATTGGGTATTGGATCAGAGTCCCAAACAGCTGCTGAGCCTCCAGGCAGCTGGATTAATTTTAAGGATACAAAATCATAGAATGGTTTGGGTTGGAAAGGACCTTAAGATCATCCAGTTCCAAACCCCTGCCATGGGCAGGGATGCCTCATGCTAGACCATTTCCCAATCTGGCCCTGAACACTGCCACGGATGGAGCATTTACCAATTCTTTGGGCAGTAAGTTCCAGTGCCTCAGCACCCTCACAGTAAAGAATTCCTTCCTTGTATCTAACCTCAATTTCCCTTCTTTAAGCTTAAATCCATTCCCCCTTGTTCTACCACTATAGTCCCTGATGAACTCATGTTCCAGCATCCTTGTAGGCCCCTTTCAGACACTGGAAGGCTGCTGTGAGGTCACCACACAGCTTCTCTTCTCCAGCCTGAACAGCCCCAACTTTCTCAGCCTGCTGCTTCTTCAGTCACAAGTTCAATAATTCTGTCCTTCCACATGAAAGCCAACAGGAAGTAACTGAAAACAAAGCTATCCATACTGTCTTGTGAGCTATTCAGGCTCTTCTGTACCCCAAGAATACACTTAAGCCAATTAACTGAAAGGGATGTTTGTGTAAGACCTTCCTTCTCCACAGAAGAAAGATCTTCTTCAATTATCTCCTTCAGTTCCCTCCAGGAAAGCAGGCATTTTAATACTAACAGGTCCAGGTGACCCTGTTGGCAGTCCACACTTAGCACAGTCCCACTAGGTAAGGATGTAGCCTGCATCCTCCTCTATGCTCTCTGAAGTCACTGGCCTGGCTTCACATTTGCTGGGCTTTGAAGTGCCTGCCTGAAGACAAACTCTTTTAGCTGATCCAGTTTGTTGTCTCTTAAGGCATCCCGTATGGCACCGAAGAAAGTGAAGTAGTGCTGGAAGTTGTGCATCATGAGCAGGACACCAGCCAACAGCTCGTTGGTCACGAGGAGGTGATGGACATAGGCACGAGTATGCCTCTGACAACAGTAACACGTGCATCCTTCCAGCAAAGGACCAAAATCATCTTGGTATCTAAGGAGGAAGCAATGTTGGATTACATCAAAGGAAAGAAGACCCATTCAAGCAATAAAGAGTATTCAGCTACTACACGGCCTTTTGCAGGCACCTGAGCCTTAAAGTCTTGAGGCCCTGAATCCAGGTGCTGTAAGATGTGTTGACATTCAAGACCAGCTCCACTGGCATGTAGGACTTCAAGTATCATGCCAGAACTCACTGAAGAACCAGAAATGCCACACACCGAAGTCAGAGGATGACTTTTGACTACACCACAGGTAGCAGCAGAGAGAGCCCTTATCTAATGCCTTCCCTGACAGCAAAGCTGCAGCACAAGACACAACTCACTACTTACAAAGAAGCTATCAAAACCCAGGATTTACTACTCACAAAACAGTATTCCCCTCTACTGTGAGATGCACCATTCTCCAAGCGGAGAGAGGACTGAGTAAAGTAACACAGTTGTCTACTGAGCCTAGTGGTAGCTGTGTAAAAGAGAAGGAAGAACACAAAGTAACACTGGTCTAAGTTTTTTTAAGTGTCCACAAACTGCATAATTGCTCTGCGGCTGCCCAAACAGAGTCAGAAAGTGGAGGTTCTCCATGGTTTATATAAAATCTAGCATCTCAAGATGACCCATGTTAGATTTGGAAGACCAAAACAATCCCCAGATAACCTTTGTGAACCTACTGTCATTCAGATGGAACATAGTTATGACCACAGTACATCTGCTGGATAAATGATCAGAAAATCCCTGGCTTTAGGTCAAGCAAAAGACAGTGCTTCCAGCCATACACTGTTGCCTGATTACAAGCGATAATGCTTGTCCAACACTCTCCATTCAAGTGTCCAGAAGTACTGCCTTCAACACCTTCATGTTTTATGAAGTCTCCCATCCAGCTACTGACCACATGCCATCAAACAGAGAGGACAAAAGCATCGTATTTAGTGATACAGCTGTATGTAAGCCTCCCCATAAGCTCACGTACCTTTTGTCCTTCAGAAATATCTCAAATGGTGTCATTTCTGGGTCAGCTTTGGGGATTTCATCCTGGTCTTCAGCACCATTCTTCTCCAGGTCCTGGGCCCCATTTTGCACGAAAACTGTTTCAAACCAAAAGACAACAGCCTTTTATGGACAGCAAGGGCAGAAGAAGGGTAGCAACCTTAAAGTAGGTGTTTCTGCTACTCTCTTGACAGATGAAAACTCCTACCCCAAGTTTCCACCTCTTTCCTATAGCAAGCAACTGTTTTTCTCTAATTACCATAGGTTAGTTAACACAGTTTTAGATGATTAAAACAGAAAGAGGCAAGTGAAAACTTACCTACTAAGCCTAATGAAGAGTTAGAGCTGAAACATCAGTGTAACTTTTTGCTGCTCTACTGAGCTGCGTTCTTAATAAAATGTCAAAAATATTTCCAGTCTGAACTGCATGCTGGATAGAACACAATCACGTGGACAAATTGAGATTCTGTTAGAGTAGACAGGCAACTCATCTGCATTCGATCATTCTACACTCCATGCTGTCATCAGGCTCAGAGATTTAGATGTCCTTTTTTCCTTTCCTTGAAAACAAGTGCAATCAAAAGAGGCTGGTGGCACTAATGCAGAAGATGTAGATTCCACATCTGCCTTTCACCAGTCTGTTTTAAAAATAAAAAATCACCCCCTAATTTTGTAGGTTTGCATTTTTAGGTTTGTTCTTAAGCAGGAGATGTTATCTGGAAACATTGCACAATCCATGTCCACTGAGTGTTACACAGACACAGAACAGATTCTGTCCTTACCCAGGTTCTTATGATTTAAGAATAAGGTGAGACAAGGTAAAGAATAACAAACAAAAAGAAGGGTTAAAAAAAAAAAGCAGCAAGCACAAAAAACCAAGATGTTCCATTCTGTTCAGGTTTTGAATTATCCAGGCATGAAAATCTGCTATGTGCTACCCAGGAGGAAAAAAGTAAAATGTTTTTCTGTATTAAAAGCATTTAATAGGCCAAACCAAAACAGCTGCTTGAAAAACATTTTATAGATGCTTTAATGGGCGATACACATGCTCCCATCTCACAGCACAGTGAGGTAATGAGATAAGAACAACTCCTTCTTGTTTTGATATGACCTATTGAATGTAAGGCCAGAGAGGAAAGCTGCCAGAGAAGTGGAATCCCAAACTTTGTCCGCTAGAAAGAAGAGACTTCAAAAAATACATCATCTAAACAGATACATACTGAGTTAATTCTAGAGATCAAGAATCTTGGATCTCCACTTAACAGGTCCAGCCTTCACTGCTAACGGTAACAGAACATTTGCCAATGGTGTAGAACAAAAACTCCTCTATTCAGTAAATGTTTAAGAAATAATTTTGGCTAATCAGACATTCAGATCCTAGCTGGAGGCTTCAAGTTACCTCAACAGGTTTCACACCAAAATATCTCACTTTCAAAAACAACACTTGACAGTGGAATCCCAGTTTTTCCTGTAGTTACTGCATTTATTTCAGGAACAAACCCCTCAAGTACAGACTCCACCAAAGCACGAATTATGCTTCTCACAATACTGGCTGATACAGTAAAAACCATAATGACCATCAAGGAGCCTACCTGCTGCTTCAGGATCTGGATGGCAGTCGTAACTGAAAACCAAGGCACAGCCTCGCTCTGTCACTTGGAACGGAAAGAAGCTCTCAAAAATGTCCACACCCCTTTCGACGCACTCAAGCACCTCATCTGGTTTGCCTACACCATGGATGAGTCTGTAAGAGACAAACAAAACAACAAATCTAGAATATTCTGCCTAGAAAGCAAGCAAGTACCTGAAGTAAAAGACACACGTGCAGCACGTGTAGCTTATCCCTGCAACTGCTAACCAGAAGGCAAGTGTATACAACAGTCATCACTCAGAATCCTGTGTGCTTCCAGTTCCCTGCTTCCAACTTATCCAGAAGATAGCAGTCTTGTCTTCTCTGCCATTTGGAAGACAGCAATAATCCCTCATCTACTGCAGAAAAACCTCATTGTGTTCATTATGTTTGAAGTACGTACACAAACAGAGTCAGATTCAAAATTCACCTAGCATGTATGCCACAGAACAGATATTTTCCTTAGTCATGTTTGTGCCACAGGGAACTACCAGTTTCCAGATACATAGACCCCTTTGCTTGGTAACTGTTTAGTAGAAAGCCTAAAAAAGATTTGACAAGAGCAGCAGAGACAGCAGGAGATGGCTGGTCAAAGATACAAGTCCTCCAGGTGACAGACACATCATACAGCACTTGAAGAGCTGCCTGGAGGAGAATGCACTAATGACAAATGTCATTGGAAAAAGAAAAGTTCCTTGCTTTCTTCTTCCCTCCTCTTTACACTCTACCTGCTCAAATGATTTGTCCAAATTTGTCCAAAAATCTGGGCTGTAACATCCCCTAGGACATGGCATTAAGAGTCAGGAAGAGCCCAGCTGGACTGTCATCAGTGGTAATAGAGATCCTGCTGTTAGCCAAATTTAGCTGGCAGCATCCCTGTTTCACCCACCCGAGGGTGGGTGAAACAGAAGAAAAGAGAGCAGGGCCTGCTCTCCTGCAGGTGTATGGCTGGGCTGACAATAGTAGAAGCTAATGCAGGGCAATGATCTAAATAGATAATTAGGAAAATACACAGGGGCTGATAAATGAAGTCACAAGGTGCCATTTTTAATCACTTTTCTAACTACTCCAATTAAATTTGTGAGCACAGACAAGAGAAGTTTACAGCATGAATATCTTATGTTTGAGGCTTTCATGGCACAGAAAAAAATCATACTTCTTCAGAATTTCATTTTGGGGTAGAACACAGCTGCAAAACAACTTCTCCAGCCAGAATGGCAAAGGTGATTCAGGAGAGCAGGACTGTCTGAAATTCACTTGAGGTGCTTACAAGACCCCCTAGGGGTAACCAGCTTTCTTCCTACAAAGAGGTCAGAAACACTTGTCTTAACCAGACAAGCGAACTATTTGATAGATGAAGCAGATGCACTGGTAGCCACTGAGGTTAGCTGAGCAGACTGGACTCTAATGCTCTCAGGGGATCTTTTAAGTAGCAAAACCAGACAGGATGGCAACAACACAGCAAGCCTTGGTAATTGTCAGAAAAATTCAAACCCTGGGCACCACTAAGCATGAACAAGCTGCAACACCAGACACATGCTTTTGCATTTAATTGCCTTTTGAACACTTAGGTCAAAGCAATGCAGAAGGCAGCAGAAAGACAATGGGGCCTGGGTCACTCTGTTCAGGAAACTATTAAAAGAGCACCCATGCTACTTCTATTGCAGCTGCTCGTATAAGAGCAATCCATGCAAAAGCCAGCAAGCTCAACCCAATGCTAAGGAACCCCTCCACTTCTGAACCACTAGCAAATATTAGCACATTTTCTGGAAGTCTTTAATTACTGTTAAGTAATTTTTAAGAGTCAAGCAAGCTGCCACTCCTGTCCAGTCTCTCGCATGGATCTGATGGACATAACTAGCACCTTAGAATACATAATGATCCCCACACTATGCCAGTCCAAGCAGAGAATACAGTTGGTTTGGGCCAGGCTATACCACCTCTGGTAACTCACAGGTTCAGTTCCTCAGGTACTAGGTCAGAGCTGGCTGCCGTAAGACCGTGTAAGCACTGGCTGGTTCTGTAAGCAGCCCTCTACTCTCCTCCAGTTCACACCAGAGAGAACTGGAAACATGAGAGATTTTCCTGAGAAAAGGTCACTGTAAAATACATTGATAATAAAGTTCTTGTTTGAACTGAAGTGCAAGTAAACCATGGCCTCAGAAGCCAAATGCAAGCAGCCCAGATATATCCTACCCGTAATTCCTCCAGAAGTGTAAAGATGACTTGAGCTAAATAGCTTGATTATTCTGCAAACGTGGGGAATACTCAAACCCAAAACCCACAGTGTGAGCACAGCTTGGTGCCAGTTGCAGCCAAAAATTGAAACAGGGGTTGAAGACTGCAGCCTGACAGTGGTAGAATTTATGCAGCCTGGCACATACAGAGAGCAGTACCATCCAGTGATACTGCACAGCAGCCTGTATATGCTCCTCATAATAGGATGGATGGACTTCTTGGGATGTTGCCCATACAACTTACCTTGGTTTATCCTCTGGCAACTCTGCTGTGACAGAAGCTATCAGTTTCAACTTGGTCTCCTTGGCCATGGCACAACCCTGGAAGCCATCTAGCAGAAAGCCACCCACAGGTCGCTTGGCAGTCTCCCTGGCTGATCGGAGCCTCTCTTCCAAGATATCTCCACCTTCAATTGCCCCAAACATTACACTTCTTTGTAGTTCCTGGCCCAGGAGAAAGCTACAAGTGTTAGAGCGTGCTCTGCCAAGGACACACAAGACATCTCACAGCCCAGACTCCAGATGCCAACTACATAAGCCTCACATTCCCAGAAACTTGGCAGAAGCACGGTGTTTCATCTCATGTATGACTATTCCCCACATAACAGTGCAAAGTCCAAGTGTAAGGTAGAAACAGGATTCAGAGACAAGATTCTGCTCCTTACATGACACTAATTCACTGAGAATTTTGGTGCCATTCTTCCCACCTCTCTACAGAAGGCAATAACCACAGGTCATCCTTGTACATGGCTTTTTAGAGATAGCCTCTCAGCATTACCCGTGGCAGCGTAGAATACAAAGCAAGTGCCATTGTCCTGACTGTCAGACACCAGATCTCACAATAAACTGCCTTTCAGGGGATACTACCATCAGCTCCTGTCACCCATTTTCCTTTGTAGTACAGACTCAGTATGTTCCCTTTCACCAGAAGGGAGAGAAATTTCAAAACTGCTAGAAGATATGAAAAATGGCACTGGCAAATTTTAGCTAGTCCTCCCTCATTTGGAACTGAGAGAACTTCAGAGCAAAAAGACGGGTTTTCTCATCTGAATGAGATTTGCCCCTGTGTATAGCATGAAGGGAAGTAAAAGAAACGCACTACGGTCCAAAAGCAGGAAAAAATTATATAGCTCTCCTCAACTAGTGCAGATCCAACCCTGGCAGTGTTCAAGGCCAGGTTGGACAGAGCCTTGAGACACACAGTCTAGTGTGAGATGTTCCTGCCCATGGCAGGGAGTTGGAACTAGATGATCTTACGGTCCTTTCCAACCCAAACCATTTTATGATTCTATGGGCATCCTGGTGCAGGAAAAGCAAGTTATTAAAGGAAGGAAACTCCACAGTGCTACTGGTTATACCTCATGCAGGACTCTCACCTGGGCATTCTCTGATACATTTGTGTGACACTATTTCCTACTAAATCACATCCTGGGACTATTCCAGGATAAGGCACAGACCAAAAAGCAGCCCCATATTTTGGGGACCTTACCGGTGATTTTTCTAGCATCTGAAGGCAGGCATCCAGGAAGGAAAGTGACCTATCCACAGACTTCTTGGCCCTTTTTCTACCAGCTTCTCCAGAAATAGTGTCTCCATCAGAGATACACTGGAACCAGTCTGGCTGGATAGCCCGCTGGATATCCATGAACTTGGAAGCGGTGATTTCCATGCGCCCTGAGCTTCCCCACAGGGACACTGTCTGTCAAGGAAGAATAGGGATGAATGTTAGTTGCAGAGGTTAACAGATCTTCAGTGTCAAAGCAGAGAAGGAACTGGTCTGGTGAAACACCAGATATTGAAATGATACTTCATAAGCAAGTTCTCCAGGAGCATGGCTCAGGTAATCAGCTGCACTTGGCACAATGACTGAAAGGAGATAAATGACTTAACTGGGATTTCTGGGATCTGCTTTGATGAAACCCTCACACTCAACACAGTAATTCTCCACATAGTCTCTGAGATAGAGCATATGGCCTATCATCATCCAAAGTAGTGGCAGAATTGGAAAAAGAAAAAAGAAAATATTTAATTCCCATCAAACTTATGTTGTCATCTCACAAAAAGCAGAAAAGGATACAACAGGAATTACGGTTCACTAGTTTTCTGTACAAAATGCAAAACCAAGAAAATATTTCCTCTTCTGAGCAGTGACTTTGTACCACCTGTGTGAATATATATGTATAAATCAACCACACAGACACACTGAGAAGAATACAAAAGGTTAGGCAATTCAATCTTAGAATCCAATGTTATTTTGGGTCCTAAATCCAGCCAGTTAAGAACGGATTGAAATACCAAGCACAAAAGAAACACACAGCTTTCAAACAGAGACAAGGTAAGAAATAGTAGGTACTCATTAGGATTCCACACAGTCTTCTCGGTCTCCTCATGCACCTTCCCCTCTGTATGCACACACAGGCCTCCATCATCTGTGGTTACTCCATGCTACACTCAAAAAGGTTTCAAAGCAAGACAAAAGCACCTTCACAGAGAGGTTATGTTACCTCAACACCTCTGGGCTAGCATCATTCAATTCTCTAAACATTCAGAGCCATAGAATGTTACTGCAGCCACTCTAACTATGCATGTTTCATCCTATTCTGCAGAACCTGGAATTAACTTTTGAATGCAGCCTGGATGCTGGAGAGGGACTCTTCATCAGGGACTAGAGCGCTAGGACAAGGGGTGATGGGTTTAAACTTAAACAAGGGAAGTTCAGGTTGGATATAAGGAAGAAGTTCTTTACTGTGAGGGTGCTGAGGCACTGGAACAGGCTGCCCAAAAAAGTGGTAAATGCTCCATCCCTGGCAGTGTTCAAGGCCAGGCTGGACAGAGACTTGGGCAACATGGTCTAGTGTGAGGAATCCCTTGCCCATGGCAGGGGGGGTAACACTAGGTGATCTTAAGGTCCTTTCCAACCCTGTAGAACCATTCTATGATGCTATAATTCTATGGTTGCTTTTGTCGTATTACTGCTAGGCTTGTGACACTGCTGCTCCCAAATTTTAAAGGAGTACTGAAGTAGATTAAGTGTTGTGCTTGAGCCCTTTAGAAGTTAGTACTTTTCATACCCATTAGTGCATTTTTAAATGAGGAATGCTTTTCAGCTATCAGAAACAGCTTATAGCTTGAAGCATTATAGAGGCTTTTTGGGACTTGAGAAAGCATTCTCCTAGCCTATACCAGACAGATTGAGCAATGCATTTCTCATGCATACTAATAAGCAAATTGAATTTGATAAGCTGATGCAAAAAAATATGAGCAAAAAAAATCTCATTCATTGGTCTCCACAAAAAAAAAAAAAACAAAACAACAAAAAAACAAACGAGTTGCACAACATATCTGCTGTCCAACCATTCATCCATCCATCCATCTCTCCTGATTACTTCTGGCCTCATCAGCCAATTTCACAAAATTTGAGTAACAAAGAAACAGGCAGAAGTCTTCCAACATTTTGAGAAATTTCGCATTTAAAAACTCCAAGGGAGGGAGATCCCAAATTTACCACCTGCAGAATAACTGGAATGCAGCAGCTCTACATTGTTCTGCAGCAGCATGTTGGCCAGTTACTACCTGCTGTCTCCTATGTGAGTGCATCGAGGAACAGCTGGTGAAGGCAGACCAAAACTGTTTGAGCCAAAGGGCACAGAATTGTAATCAAGTCTACTTACCTTCACTCTGCTCTCCAGAGGAAAACAGCTGCTTTCATAAATAAAATAGCCGTGTGACTTAAGAGAACTGAGCATTACCCTCTGATTATTTAAATCCAGCTTGTGCCAGGCATTCTGGCACAGAATCCAAAGCTTTCTGTCCCACCACTTTCGAAAAGCTTTCAGCAGCACTTGTCAGTGTAAATCTAGCTACTGAATGCCTTGCAACAACGTGACAAAAATCTTTACCAGCTTCAAAATAAAAAACCCAATCAAACCTGCAACCTCCAGGCTTACAATGCTGCCATCACCTCACAGCTGCACAACAGTGAGACAAGCTTCAGGCGATTCCTCCCCTGCAGAGAGACAGTTCTCAGCCTGGTTCCCAACAGAAAGAGCATACACTGGCAACTGGATGACAGTCATTACCCTCTGTTGTTCAGTGACGTTTCACCCAATGTGATGGCACCCAAATTGGCCTTGGCACTGCGCAGGTGCCAGGAGTCACCCCTCCAAAACAAAGCTCTTGTAGGCAGCAGGCAGCATGTGGACTGCACAGGGAACATGCATGTCTGTGGGATGGAATGGGTAAACATCCACAGCACTATGCACTCCTGGACTGCTGAGCCACCTTCCCACAAAAATGCTAAGATCATCCCCTTTGTGGGCCTGTAGCAGACTGTAAATACACACAGAGGCTCAGGTTTATTGCTTATTGGTGGCACTGTCATAAGCTTGTACAACATATAAGCTAAAATACATGGGTTTTTTTTCACTACCATATTAATCACAAGACTATGGGAGTCCAGAGCTCTCCTTTCTATCTGAATTGCCACTTAACTGTGCAGGAACTGTTCAGGGAACCTGCTGTCAAGAAAATGTCCAGCTTTATTTAGCTGGTGGTATGAACACGTAATGATGTCCCTCTTTGTGCAAGTATTTATATAAAGCATAAAAAAAAATCTTGTGGCTAAGTAGACCCACACAGCCAAGAGGAGGACTGACAGCTTTCTTTTGGGAACTTTCAATTCTTTACGGTTACTATACCTTGTTAGTGTTGTAGCCAGATGGACAGGGAGTGACCGGGTCATGAAGGGAGCAGTACAGCACCTTGTTTGGCATACCTGGAAACAAAGCAACAGATACAGAGAAGAGTTTCGTGAACCAAAACAAAGCTAATGGTGTGTAAATTTGCAAAAGGGGAACGGTATTCTCACACACATAAGTACATCCATTCTGACAAAGCAAATAGTGTCCATTAGACCTCTCAGCACCAAAGGCGGCAGACTTTTTCCCCAGCTTTACTAGCTGCAGGGAGGCGAGTGCAGCATCGGGACAAACCATCAAATAATACCCTTTGGCTCTGCAACCTACATAGCTCCTTCTTTGTATTTCTTCTTGATTAATACTCCTGCTATTAAAATTTGCCAGACCAAACAGCTGACTTGCTTGACCACTCAACTGATACACTGGAGACATCTGACACAATCTAAAGTGAGCAACAATCCCCAGCCTAGAACTTTTAATGAATGACAACGTACAGCGAGACAGCAGATCAGCTACACAAATTACAAGTTTACCATCCCTGCCACTTTGAAGGCTTCAAATGCCATGAAGCTAGACAGCATGTTTCAATGACATACAGTTTTCTCTTCGCAGATAGTCACAGAAATTGGTGAAGCCTCCAAGAAGTTTCACATAAAGTGGTTTTTAATTTTTCTTGAAGCAGTAAGTTGTCCCAAAGCAGTCAAAGTTTAAGCAGTGAAAGTTGGGAGCAAACAAACTTCCTTTAGGAAGCCGTAACTTCACTCATGTACTGCAATGCATGTCCAAAACTTTGATGTGCTTTAAAAGCGGGGGGGGGGGTGTGGGAGGGGGGAAGTTTGGTGTCTGTATATAGGACAAAAATCATAGAACGGTTTGGGTTGGAAAGGACCTTAAGATCATGTAGTACCAATCGCCTCACACTAGACAATGTTGCCCAAGTCTCTGTCCAGCCTGGCCTTGAACACTGCCAGGGATGGAGCATTTACCACTTCTTTGGGCAACCTGTGCCAGTGCCTCAGCACCCTCACAGCAAAGAACTTCTTCCTTATATCCAACCTGAACTTCCCCTGTTTAAGTTTGAACCCACGACTCCTTGTCCTATCGTTTTTTAAAATTATAATAATTCACATTATTTTACACATTCAGAATGTACGTGCAATGGACACAAAACATTCAGAAGAATACCTCAGCATTAGCAACGCAATGTTTTTTCTTGCAAAGTCTGCTAGATTCCATACACAAAGAACTGACTACAAATTACAGAAATTAAAGACACACCATCACTTTGACGGTGTTTACCCAGTGCAGCCTGAGACATGCAGACAACCAAAGCACCCAGAGAAATTTCTTGACTTGGTTGATTATCTTCCAGTTCCCTGAGCTACCTCCCCAGACATAAATACAGGCTATGGTACAGATACTTACAACAAGATGCTAACCTTGCGTTCACTGTGCATTCAGGCTCCTTTGCTACAGCAGCCTGATAACAGCGATCTTTGTTGCATAATGTGCGTGGTTACAACCACCACAGGAAAAACCCAGGACAGTCACAAAAGCGAGAATTGCTGCTTTACTCACTTCTTGTCACTGAGATGTTAAGATAAAGATTTAATTCAGGAACTGCTCCAGGAATGGAGTGCAGAGAATGAAGATCCCAAAGGCTTAGGGCTTGGTGGAGTAGCTGAGGGCTATGGCAGTGTTGACTGTCTTAGATCTGACTAACTAAAATTGAGTTTATTCTTAAAACTGACTCTTTAATGTGGAAAAATGAAAGGAGAATACAGGGAGCAAGCACAGTGTGACTGCTAAATGGACAGGAACAAAGAACAGGGGAAAAATGAGCTTCTCCACCTGCTTCTTTAGCTCCTCAGAGCTTCTGCAATTCCAGCACGGGTCCTTACCCTAACATCTTCTCAGAACAGGAATAGCTCAGAGGCAGAAGCGTCCACCAGCTGAAACTGATTTGATGTGGGGTGCTTTCTTCATTCTGGATGAAGATTTCCTATTGGAAATCTTTAGATGAAAACAAATATTTCATGAGAATCAAAAAAGCCAGCTTGAGCAGACAGATATTCTCAAGAAGTGTATTTGAACAGCTCCATGGGGGAGACCATTCTCATAAGAATTTCCAGTTCTCCTCAAAAGAGGTCAGAAATTGCACATGGCAAGATTCATGTGCAGCCATGACCTGGGGCTACAGTAAAACCTCTCTCAGGTCTAGTCTCAACTTCCGGGCTAAGCCCACCCTAGTCAGTGCTGAAGCTCCCAAGGAGAGATCTGGGTACAGAAAGAAAAGATAAATAAAGTGAAACTCATATTTTTGTAGTTTGAAGCATTTGTGGTCATACTAGCAAGAACATACTATTTCAAGTCTTCCTTAGTGCCACTTTGAGAGAAAATGCCAAAACACAGAAAGCCTATGCCTACTATTCTGCCTAAAAATTCACCAGTGAGATCCACCTCCATTATCTCTCCAGACATACAAGCAAATACACACATTTTACCTATAAATTTTGCAGCTCCTTCTTTATATTCTTCCAGGACCTCATGAATTTCTGCCCTGCATCCAGACAGAGAAACACATTAACTAAGCAAACAAGAAAGATCAGTGGTTTCATCACTAAGGCTCCTGCTTCCCATAGTTATGTGTTGTGTGAACTTGGATTAGTTCAGGCACTGACAGTTGTCATCCAGCTATCAAGCAACAAAGCAGGGACAGACAGAACTAAATGCCAGAGCTCAAGAATCACATCTTACAAACCAGGGCACTCATAATTCTGGGGCAGAAGGCAGAGCTTTTACCCGCACTGACCAGTGACCAATGATTTGCTGGAAAGCATGAAATCACACTGTGACTTTCTGGGTAGCACTACTAACCTCACTCCATTCTTTTTTCAGACAGTTGTAGAGAGTGGTAAGCTCCCGCCTGAGGCTCCTCCAGACTAGCCCTCCCCCCCGAGTTCCCTCAGCCCTCTACATCCCTAAATCACTGTACCTCTCTCCGACGGGCAAGCAACAAAGGACCAACCAACTCCGGCATTTTGCCTTGCACCCGGGGAAGCAATCCCGCCCGCTCCCGGCAGCGTGGCATGGGCTCGCTGCGCCCCGCAGACAGGACCGCGGTACTCACAGGGCAGGCAGGCTGAGCTGCGCCACGGCGGGGAC